ATAACTCAGATCCGGGTCCGGAATGGTGAAAATGTGCGATTTCAATGCATTTTCGGCCTTAAAGCGGCCGCCATTTGGCTATCGTTAATGAGATGATGAAACAAATGCACATACATATTTGTGACATGATGTACCCTGTGTGTGTGAAGTTTGAACTCGATTAATCCAGGCATGTCTCAGATACGGATCCAGAACTGAATTCTTTAAAACAAAATGGCCGACTGGCGCCCATTTCAAGCCCGGTCCAAAAAAAAAAAATTACGTGCATCAAGGTCCTATTATGTTTAATGTATGTACCAAATTTGAACAAAATCCGTCCATGCACAACTGAGATCCGGGTCCGGAATGGTGAAAATGTGCGATTTTGATGCATTTTCGGCCTTAAAATGGCCGCTATTGAAAAAAATGCATGTGCATATGTCCCATATAATGTGTGATGAATGAGTGAAGTTTGAACTTAATCGGTCCATGCATGTTCAAGATACAGGTGATCACGGACGCACACAGGGCAAAACATAAGTCCCCGTTTTCGGACTACGTCCGAACGGGGACTAACAAAGAAGCGTCTGCCGTTGCTTCAGCGGGATAGAGACAATATTTGCGGGTAAATAGAAGACTTAGCCTCAATGCCCCAAACACTTAGACCTAACCACTTTACTTGTATAAATAATAAAAAGTTGTATGTTTCGTTAAAATAAGAATGGACATGTTAGCGTTGAAAAATCATAGAAGTACAGTTATCATCAGTACAGATAGACTCGCTGAACAGGAACTTGTTGGTATTTCAACAGTTTTGTAATGAAGTAGGCCCTCCGCAAAATCCCCTATATAATGCTGCAGTGTAAGGTTGATTCTGTCGACAAATGGGAATGCACGCCGTTGACTTGAGGAAATCACGACTTGTGTGTTTGATTAAACCATAGACCTTAGAATGATTAAATGTTGATGTAGTTGCGCTCATGGGAGGACAGAACCACACGAGGCGTTTTTTTTAAGATTAGATATTTGTAATTGTAATTTAATTTGTAATTTATTTATTTGGAACAGTACATCCATAAATGGTTTTTCATGCACAGCATATAGATATAAAAATTAACATAGAATTAAACAAACCACTGCAAAAATGACGAGAACACAATAAAGAAAAGCATAAATAGGGTATAAAATAAAATAACTATGAAATAATATGATAAAATTAAATTAAAAAAAATGACAATAACATAGCAGTCCGGATAAAATGCATAAATGGGGTAAATATGAATTGACAACAAAGTAGTAAGATAAAATTATACAATATTATTAGCAGCTGTAGCTGCGCGATATTTAAAAGAGCGAGTGTGAGATTTTGAAATATGAAATCGATTTCTGGTGTTGTAGGAATGGATGGCAGAGTTTGAAATGAGAAGGTCAGATAAGTATGGTGGGACTAAATATTGCTTGCATTTGTAAACGAGTTTATTAAAGTGTTTAGTTTGTCTGTCTTGAATGGTTGGCCAACCAAGAGCTGATCTTGCAATGGAGACAGGTTCATGTCTTTTCAAGCCACATTGGATGCGTACAGCAAGGTTGATGATACATTGCAGACTACTTTTTAGTGTAATGCTGCAGTTAGAATACACAGTGTCACAGTAATCAAGTAGTGAGAATACTGTGGCAATGTCCTATAATGTCCTTGCGAGCTTTCTCAGTATTTTTCAGTACGTTGAGATATTTAATAAACAAGTACAAATAGTCCGCTTTTCAATCACTCGCTTTTGAGACCGCTTGTTTAATTTGACAGGACAATTTCTGTTTTATTTTCGTCTGCGCAAACCCGGAAA